AGCCCGATGCGGGACTCGATCCCGGGACTCCAGGATCATGACCTGAGCCGAAGGCAGTCGCTTAACCAACTGAGCCACCCAGGCGCCCCTCTCCTCCTAATTTTCTTTAATTTAATTCTGGAATCACATATAAGAGAGTATCTTCCTTAAACTTTAACAAGATATCGATCCTAACTCCCCCGTGCAATAGGGGTAGAGAAATTGTTATTTATATATATATTTTTTAATGTGCATATTTAGAACCGATTATTGGTTCATTTACCAGCAACTATTAAACACCACCTAACCCTGGATCCCAGTATTTGTTCTCCAGTAGCCCTCTGACCTCTTCCTAAAGGAAGGGGGATGAGGCATGCAAGGGCTACAGCAGGATGGGTGAATGCAAAGCCAGAATAGTAAAAGGAAGATGGAAGAGAGGCAGAGTGGGGCCAGCATCCGACCCTTCCCTTAATGGCAGCCAGGCTGGGGCCAAGTTGTGAAGATGACCATGGGCAGGCGCATGTTCTCTGTGTTCACGTTCACTTATGATCTTATACCGACAGCTCTGCATATGTGGAGTGGGCCAGGCTGGAGGCCTACATGTTTCCAGATACTGACCCAGCTGTATATGGAAGCCTGAGATCTTCCAACCATGAAGCAAAATGTCAAAGGAGGTAAGTAGCTTGTTTCCCAGGCCTTTCTGTACTCAGTAACAAGATGACTCATCTCACCACAAAGACTGACAAAGAGGGCCTCATTGGGTCCTCCTCTTCTCTGACTTTTTCCAAGCCTTACATGGGTGGCATTATGCCAGTTTGGGGTTGTTAAGCTATGGGGCAATGTTAAAGAGGCTCTGGCATCTCAAATTCATTGCTTGAATATCTGAATCCTTATTCCAGGAAGTTACAGAACCTCCAAGGAGCATATATGAAATTACGCTTTTTAAAAAGTCATTGCCATTAGATGATCTGGGGAAATCCCAGAATAAGTATCAAGGCTCTCTTATCCGAGTGATAAATTGACAAGGGGTCAAAGCTTGCTCCTGTTTGCCTGCCTTCTCCAGGGGCTCCTAATTTCCTGAGAATCAGGCATGAGCAAATGGCCTTACTCAGCCTTAGAGAGCTTTAGCCCTCCAATTTGCTTGTGGTTTTTTTTTTTCTACACCTAGCTATTGATACTTATACCGAAGTGGTGGGATCTCCCCTCTTCTCTTCCTCTGCCTTCCCCACCCTGCCATGACTCAATGCGAGAATTTAGAACTGGGATTAAGATCTGCTTTCCAATAAAGGCCCACTATTCAAAAATCAAAAAAAAAAAAAAAAGATCTGCTGTCCGAAATCTTTAACTTTTAAAAATTTTCTTTCTATTTTTCTTTTCCTTCTCTTACTTTCTCACTCTTTTGTTCATTAATTTTTCCAATTATTCATTTATTACAATGTATCTGGGGCCTGGGCTTAAGCTAACTAGCACTGCTTTCACCATTAGGATTTAGACTTAAGTCTGAGGATGCCTGGATGATTTGTGGGGTGGGCCTACCACGGGCATATGGTCCTGAGGGACAGCAGTCTCCTAGGAAGACTCACCCCACAGGAAGACAAAGGGGAGGACACCCACTTAAAGTTCATTGGCAATGGACCAGGACTAAGGTGTGCTTTGGGGTGGTCCTGGTGGGATTTTGGAAATAGCATAGTGACTGTCACGCAGATGTCTTCTGGCCTAGCACCCAAGAACTTGTGCCTGAGTCCTAAGGTGAGGATGTTGGAATAAAAGGGCAAGTAACAACTAAAATAGCCGTTCACTCAAACATCCCGAGTTTATAGAAAGCAGCAGCTGCAGCCACAGCAGTCCAGAGCCTGGCAGATGTTAGCATGCTTCAGCCTGGGCAGGCACAGCTTTGGCCCGGGCAGTGGTGGACACCAGCATGGAGGTGACGCCTCAAAAGGCCACTTTTGGCGTCAGCAGCAATGGAGACAGCCCAGGAGGCACCAGCAGGCGAGGAAGAAAGTGTCAGTCAGGTGTTACATGTAGTGGCAGGGCTATCATGCCCAATATCTGTAAGAAAATCACCGAAGAACCCCAGACTTTGGCGATACGCTTGATGTAAGGATGTATAGTTGGAGTATCCACAGAGTACATTTGGTAAATCCAGAGAACACTGTTCTGTATCTCTTGTAATTAAGGTCCTGCTCCAGAAGCTGAGTTTGGGGGACACAGCTTGTTACACATTTCTTAAAGCCAACTTAGTTCCAAACAAGACTTGTGGGAGCCTCACATGAAAGCCTCAGATATAAAAGGGCTAATTTTTCAAAAAGAAAGTAAAAGAACCATAGTCAAGAAATAAAGACTGGAAGGAAGGGAAGAAAAGAAATGTTGCATTAGAAAACCTAGTCAAGCAAGTGTTCTTGCTTGACTTGAAACCCCTCTTTCTTTTGGGTTTCATTCCTGAGAATGCAAACCCTATGCCCAATCAAGATCCAAACAAAGGAGAAATTCAGTTATTCAGGCAGAGATGTTCCCCCCCCCACCAAATGTATTACTTTGTCCAAAGTTTCTACTGTTCTGTGTGGTTAGAGAGCTACCTGGAATCATTGAACTTACTTTCAATTGGTTGTTGGGAACTCTGATGATTCCACCCCTGCTCCAGTGCCAACAAACTGAGTGCCAAGCTGGAGGTTACACACATGGCTGAGGGAGCTGGAAATGCCCCGTGTTTGTGGCCGGTGCTGGTACCTCACAATGATGCCACTAGATGGGAGGGCAGGTACAATGATCTCCACTGTACAGGTGGAACCGCAAGGCAGAGAGAGCCATGGCCACACTTGCATGCAGGCCCAGTATTTGGACATAGCCTCCATCTCTACATTCTGGCTGCATAGCTCCTGCTTGGCTGTAGGTGTGGAATGGTAACTCACCCTGATTTTTTTTTTTAAGATTTTATTTATTTATTTAAGAGAGAGCACATGAGAGGGGGGAGGGTCAGAGGGAGAAGCAGACCCCCCGCCGAGCAAGGAGCCCGATATGGGACTCAATCCCGGGACTCCAGGACCATGACCTGAGCCGAAGGCAGTCGCCCAACCAACTGAGCCACCCAGGTGCCCTCACCCTGATTTTTCTAGCATTCCAGAAGATTCCAACGTTCATCTAGGTTTGGGAACCTTACTCCTCTAAACTATCTTGTCTCGGTCTGAAGACTTAATGGGTGAATCATGTCAGGTTAAATGGGATTGATAAATATAGGAATCTAATTGCTAAATGTGATTGGTGGACAAGAGGAAGAAGATACGGTCCTTGAATGAGGAGCATATAGCATGTTGGCAAATTGAAGCAGGTATCAAAGAAATGGAAATTCTTTTTACTTAATTCTTTTAGATGTTTCTATATTTCCAAAGTAAAATCATTCCTACAGATAGAACCAAAGGAGAGACTGGCACTGCTTGTATCCCACATGGCCCCATGACAACTGCAGTCAGAATTTGCTGTCCAGAGTGGGCAGAATAGGGCCCACACCTGTCTGGGAGGGACAAACACACACACACACAGACGCATACAGACACACAGACACACACACACACACACTATCTTGTCCTCTCAGTGTGGAAAGATCTGAGAAAATGGCAACTGACCTGTGGTCTGCTTTGGTCCCTTAGAAATCCAAAACTGTTGTAATTAGACATCTCTAAGAATTTCCAAGGACCCCAGAATATTATAGAGAGTTAGAGCTGGAAGCATTCCCAAGGTGGCAGAGCAGAGAGTGATGTGGAGAACAGGAAACAGGAGAGCATGGCTGGGACACCTGGCTGGCCCAGTCAGTAGAGCATGCAACTCTTGATCTTGGGGTTGTGAGTTCGAGTCCTACATTGGGTGTAGAGATTACTTAAAAATAATTTTTTTTTTTTAAAGAGCATTGCTGGTGACACAGTAGCAAAGTTTTGAGAGTAGAAATTAGCTTATGTGTTTGTGAGACACAAGAAGAGACCTGCTAGGGGAAAGAAAAGAAAAAACATTTACTAATTCTGTGCTTTGATGTATTCCTTATCTCATGTCATTCTTAAATAGCTGTATAGATAGTATGTTGGTTCTATTCTATAGGAAAGGAAACTGAGGGTTAGACAGGACAGGTTATTAATCCACCATGACCCAGATAGTATAAAAGAACCAAGACTTGAAATCCAGGTCTCAGGAACACAAAGTCCATGCCCATGCTGTTACAATCTTGTGCATGTGTACCTCTGTGTGGTCTAGAAAATGCAACATCTAGTAAGTTCCAGGCTCTGTCCTAAGTGCTTGACAAATATTAACTCATTTAATACTAACAATGACCCTGGGAAGTAACTGCGAGTTCACAGATGAGGTAACTGAAAGAAAAAGAGGTAGCCTGCCAAGATCCCATATCTGGTGGCAAGCTGCTTGCCTGGCTCAGAGCCAATACTTCTCATCATTACTCTGTGGTGCTGCTACACAAATGAAAACACATTTGCCGAGCACTCACTCTGTGCCAGGCACTGTTGGTCCTGTTGTGAGTGCTTTAAACTTACTGACTTGTTCAGTTCATGTGGTCAGGCAGTCTAGATGGTGGCTAGATGATAAGTGTGCGCTCTGGAATGAGTGCCTGTCGTTTATTAGTTAAGTGACCTTAGGTAAATCATTCAATTGCTCAGTGGCTCTTTCCTCGTCTGTAGAGTAAGAGTCATAATTGTTTCTACTTCATAGATTTGTGGTAAAGATTAATTGAGTTATTATGCATAAAATGCTTAGACAGTGTCTAGCAAGTAGAAAGTGCTGGAGATTTTCTTTAAAAGGCAAGCAGAGACAGACTCTTAAAAACAGAGGACAAACTGGTGGTTGCCAGAGGACAGGTGGGTGGGTGGATTGGGGAAATAGGTGATGGGGATTAAGAGTATACTTATTGTGTTGAGCACTGAGTAATGCACAGAACTGTCTAATCATTATCCTGTACACCTGGAACTAATACAACACTGTATGTTAATTATACTTGAATTTTTAAAAAAGGCAAGCAGAGGAGCTTGCACTTAATGTGTGACGATGTGAGGGTGTCCTAGTGAAATTCTGCCACTGGCTGCCACGGGTCAGTATCTACACAGTACTGCAGCCATGACTTCATGTACTGCAGGGTCCCTACCAGCACCAGGACTGGCTGCTTGTGGGTGCTCTCCTTTGGCAGATCAGGCCTGGCCAGAATACTGGCCAGCCACTGCTATTTTAAGGTGGAGTTATGGATTGGCTCCAACTCAAGAAATAAACTGAAATGGGGAAACTAGGAGTCACTAGGAGGCTGTAAGATGCCAGAGGAAATTTGTCCACCTAGGACCAAAGAGCTTATCCTTGATAAGTAGACTCTGCCATCCTTGAAACAGAGCCTTGACTTTCTGGCAGTTAATCAACTTTTCAAGGCTGTTTGACCTGGCATAAAATAATAAATGACTGTGCAGTACCAAGATGACTGCTTAGCCTCAAGGCTGAGGACTACACCTGAGGAACCCTCCCTGGCAACCTAGAGACAGGAGGCCCAAGAAGAACAAGGCCAATAAGCATCAGGCTGATGTATCATGACTGTAACCAGGTTCAGCACTCCCTCCTGCATCGTCTCTCTAGCCTGGACCACCTCCTCCATTTTGGAAACCCTGAGACCGTGGGGATTCACCTGGTAGAGTCA